TGAGGACCGCGTGAGGATCAAAATAACAAGGACCAGGACAAGAATCAGGACAGAGGTTCCCGGATACGGATCAGGAGACGCTCCTGTGACTCTGTGCAGCCAGTCGATTACACAACACGGCAGAAAGTAGCGAAACACTCCTGTGAATCAGGATCAGGATCAGGATCAGGATCAGGATCGCCTGTCGACAAAGGTTGACAAGGATCAGGAAATGCGAATGTGAATCTGTGCCGCCAGTCGACTACACAACACGGCAGAGAGTAGCATAGGGCAAAGAAATAGATACCTGCTGACTTTGCAGAGATAAGGCAAATCGAGCATAGTCCCACTGTGGCAGGCATCGATAATCGCATGCAGCCTTACACCCTTGATAAGGGGTCTAACAATCAGTTGATTAATTTCGTCATCCAGCATGACTCCCGATTTCTCAAAATCCACCGGTACGAGCGCTTCATCGTAGCCGTCTAATTCGTCGCCGTCCAGATCTTTGACTTGGATCCCATGGCCAGAGTAATAGAAGACGAGACAATCGCCGGCTTGCATCCCGCCCACCAACCACTTCAAGGCCCGAGTTATATTGCGCCGAGTGGGTCTAGAAGAACCTCGACCGCCGCCAATCCGATCCGTTGTCGAAGATGGACTGTCAACATCATCTGCACACATACCATAAATAAATATAAACACATTGAATGAAATATTAAATCATAAATCGTAAATAAATAAATACAAAAAAAAAAAAAAGCGAGGAGTGGGTTGCTCACACTAAAGAGACAATTGAGATCGCTTTTCGTTGTGACAATCTCTTCTTTTGTTTTTGTTGGACTCGAATGGTCTGTAGCTTGCTTGTTCAGGTCCATTGCAGCATGAGAGAATCAAATAGGGTAATCTTGACCCCCTCTGAAGAATTTGGTGAGTGGGTGAGAGAGTGTGTGCATATAGGTTTATATAGTTTTATATAGTTTTATATAGTTTTATATAGCTTTATATATGTTTATATAGGTTTATATAGGTTTATAGGTTTGAGGTTTCATAGATTGCAGCTTCATAGGTACGAAACCAAGTAGACAAATACACAATAATCAGTCATTGAATGATCTAGATTGTAAACAGAGCAATCAGCATAGGCGTGATGTGGTGTGAGGAATAGGATGTGGGCTGGTCTGTAGGTGTAGGGAACCTGTGCTCTTTGTGCTCTTTGTGCTCTTTGTGCTCTTTGTGCTCTTTGAGCCATTTGTGGAGTAGTTTAGTTAGAATAGTGTTACCTGATAGTGGGAAGTTGGTACTCATGAAAGTTTGACACTGTAGTACTTTTCTGTGCATCTTCTTGCACTGCAACCAGGGATGGGCTTGGGCGAACGTGCCTTGTCCAGCCTGTGTGGCTGCAGTACGTATGCCTTGTCCAGCCTGTGTGGCTGCAGTACGTATGTGAGGGACGCCGGGGGCGTTTCCCGGCAATTGAAAGATTGTTGTAACAGTTTTTGAAAAAAAAAGGGGAGGGGGAATTCTTTACCAAATTTGAAATAAAAAATAAAATAATAATAATAATTATTATTATTTTTTTTTTTTTTTGCCCGGCCAGGCAACTTGCTCGGGGCCACTCTGGTAGCCTAGTTACTTAATTAAATACTAAATTAAGTACTTAGTTAATACTTAATTAATTACTTAATTAGTTATTGTGATAACCTGATAGCACATGCGCTAATTTTTTGTTTTTTTGTTTCCCCATTATCGCTAATTATTAGGAGGCGCGGGCGTGGCTGCTCTCATCACATGAACTGGCGTGCTGTGAACAAACCCGTAGAAAACCAGCGCTCTGCACGCGCCCTGCCCGTCGATCCATCCCATCTGATGGCCCTCCCATCTGATTTTCACTCCGGGTTTCCGCGCGCAGAGGGACCACCGTCCTCCCCCCCGTGGACTTAATAATTAGCGATAATGAGAACCGAAAAAGCAAAAACTTAAGGCGTGTGCTATCAGGTTATCACGATAACTATCAGGTTAATTGATTACTTAATTGATTAATTGATTAAGTAATCAATTAAGTAATTAATTAAGTAATTAATTAAGTAATTAATTGAGTAATTAATTAAGAAATTAATTAACTAGGCTAAAAGGGCCTTTACGATTCAGACCCCAAATGAGTACTCCAGCATAGTGGGGCCCGACGGCCAAAGGTCGCATCCAAATGAAACGGAAAAGTCGTGTGGAAAGTCACAGTCAGGTCCTGGATGAACAGGTACTGTGTTTTGTTTTAATGCTAAAGATAAGGTCTCCTCTGTTCAATACTAAGTCCAAAGTCACAGTCCCAGGCCAGTCACAGTTCCCAAGGTCACGGCTGATTTAGTTCAGGAGTCCAAAAGAAAGGCCCAACGGCCACAGCAGCAGCAGACCATGGGAAAGGGTACTGGGACACACACTTTGCAACAGCAGGTACTGGGGAAGAGTCCCAGGCCGAGGGAGGCTGAAAGTAGACGTCGCCAGACCAGTCCAGCAGTATAAAGGACTGGCCAACCTCCTCATTCGGGAGAGACTCATTGGCATGAGAGATGAGAGTGTGGAAGTGCTGAGGCACTTGTGCGCCACAATGCTAGTGAACTGCGCAGGCTAGAGAGCTGCACTAAGGAAGAAGAAGGGAGCTGGGCGCTGGCTGAGGGAAGCAGCCATAGCTGCGCCAGTAGAAGTTAGTAGCATTAGAAGGGTTACTAGTAGGAGTACCAGTGAGTAGTATTCAGAGTAGATCCTCGTGTGATAGGGAGTGTGCATGCATGATGAGTGTGAGTAGACCAGGACTATAGACATAGAGGGAGAGAGAAGAGAGCAGACAAGAGAGGGGGAGGAGAGAGCTATAGTGATAATTACCTGTTGAGCGCTGTTGTTGACAATTGGCAGCTGGCACTGAAAGAGCGCCAGGCTTGGAACTCTCGTAATTGATTGAAGAGTACTGGTAACTCTGTTCAGCGCTATACATTTTTTTTTGGACTCGTTTTTCCCTCTCCTAATCTGGTTATGATGTTTTGACTTTTGAGTTGAGCTTCCTGGTTCTCATTCGTCATCTATGGAGCTATGTGTGAGATATCGCAATCTGTGAACGTGTTTAATCACTGTTTATGGCATTTATGCATGTGATCGGAAGCACTCCAGCAAGTGATGAACAGTGGGGTTCCTTGCAAGGCTACCAGAGTGGCCTCAGAGCAAGTCGCCCAGCCGGGCAAAAAAATAAAAAATAAAAAAATCGACCATTATCACCTCATATTACTATTTATAAGCCACAATTAACTTCACTTTCTCTATTTTTCATAGAATTTGTGGTGCTTTTTTAGTGACTACTGTTTTGTTCAGTATTCTTTTTGTCAAAATTTGTGAACTTGGTCTGACTTTTTATCACTTTTATAATTTTATTTATGTGTTTTTTACTTTACTTCATGTGACTCTTGCCAGTTCAGCTAAAACCCAAAATGAAACTTCCATTTTGTGGAGCGGGTTTTACAGTGTGAGGCAGTGTTGCACACCCCGACCGTCGGCGACCCTTGACTGGTCGGCTGCGGACCCGCCGACCGGTCGGCTGGTCGGCACCTACTGGTCGGGGGTCGGCGGCACCCCGCATTTTTTTTTTTTTTTTAATGGGGTCCAGAACCCCTAATAATATCACCAACACCCCCATAGCGGGGCCCAATACCCCATATACCACCCCAACAGCCCCGAACAGCCGCCAACACCCTTATTAAACTATCCATAACCCCCTATATCCCCCCCATACGACGGCGCATCGCGTGCGGGCGAGCTACGCACGTGTGGCGCCTAGTGCACGCGCAACCATGCGCGCGCACCCCAACAAATAGAGTAAAAAAAAAAATTGGAGAGGGCTGGCTGAGGTAGCCAATGGTGCCCCTCCCTTTTAAAATGTCGAAGGACACAGTAAAAAAAATTGAGCACACTTTTTCCTTGTTGAATTGTCCTTTTCCCGAAGGACCCCAGTGCATCTGCAAAGGTCCCAACGTCTCAAGAGACGTTCAGCAAATTTCATGTGAGAATGGAGCAGGCCAGCAATATATGTTCTGGATCCGAAGTCAGGTCTGCTTTCCAGAAGTTATGGGTTACACGTTACAACTACTTACTACCGTAGCTCTCTCTTTCTTTTGTTTTCCTACGAGCAGTGGCCCTAAGGGCCTTGCTCCACTCGTCACTACTTGCACAAAAGACAAAACATATGGCGGCGTATGAGTCCATCTTCTAGCAGAAGATTCATTCCTCTCTTTCTTTTGTTTCCTTCTCCTATGAGCAGTGGCCCTAAGGGCCTTGCTCCACTCGTCACCACTTGCACAAAAGACAAATCATATGGCGGCGTATGGTTCCATGTTTTAGCAGAAGGTTCATTCTAATTTGCACATTTGGTGCGTAGTGGAGGGAAGCCCTGGAAAGCACGTGGTGAGTTGGCCTTCTACTGCCCAGAAACTCGCGTGCTCAATGGTCCCATAACTCCTGAAACACGGACCTTAATGTGAATGAACAGCATATATACTTGGCGTGCCATGACTCTGCAATGAGCAGTAACTCGTTCACGGTGAGGTAGCCCTTGCTGATTATGTGCAAGGGCCTCTCAAATGACCCCCAGGGGGTTTCAAATAAATGTTAAGGAGCTATTTGTTTCCTCTCTCTCTCTCTCTCTCTCTCTCTCTCTCTCTCTCTCTCTCTCTCTCTCTCTCTCTCTCTCTTGCGTGCTCTCACACGTAACAGCCATTTTTTATTTTTATTTTTTTTTATTTTTTTTTATTTTTTTTTAATCCGAGCTGAAGGTATGCTCCAGCCCCAACCCCCCCATAACCCCCTCCATACCCAAACGTTTCTCAGCGGATTTGGGCTGTACTCAGCAAGCGCAGTACAGCCCCCAACTCAGATTCAAAAAAAATCAGTGGATGGTTATTTTCTGACTGGTCGGCAGACCGCCGACGGGTCGGCCCTACTGGTCGGCTGCAATACGGTCGGCGGTCGGGGTCGGCGGCCGGCAGGGGTGCAACCTTGGTGTGAGGCACAAGCCCTCAAGGGGCCCTATCAGACATCACATTGTTCTGGGCTAAGGGCCCCAGCAAGCCAAGTGCCCGCTCTAAGTGAAGGTGGGCCTGAATATTCGTCAAAGGCAAAATTCGACATTTCCATACATGGGTATTCAGGCTCTTGCAGCACGCCAGTTCGTTGGGTAGACGCGTGAGCCTCACAAAGCTGCGTTATACAGTTGGCCCAGGCCTTGACAGTTGTGCCTGGGCACACATACACAAAGCAGGGCCGATACAATGGGAAGCAGGCCATCGGCCTTTGCAAAAGCAGTAGTGCCGACGCACCTGCTGGGAGCCCTGCACAGATGCAGCAAACAGCCCAAGTCCGGAGACTCAGGCCGTGCCTAACTGCAAAGGGGGCCCAGGCGCTCAACTGTAGTCTCGGGCCTGGGCGCAGGGTCTGAGACCCAACTGGAAGCTACTGGAAGCTTCCAGCCAGGCCACACGCAGCATCCTGGAGGCTGCCACTTCCACAAAAGGAGTGAGGCAGCCCAGGCCAGGCATTCTGGCCAGAGCTGGCAATGCGGAAGTGCTGCTGCGCTCTCGCTTGATGCTGCGCTGCTGCCAAAGGCGCTGACGGGGCACGTAGAGGTGAGGAGGGGCGCTGCAGGCCAGCGGGGCGCAGGCGGCCATAGCCGGGCTGCTGGGCGCCAGGGGGTACAGTGGGTGATCTGGTGGTCTTCAGGGAAGGAGGTGCTGTATGGGGTAATCAAGGTCTGATTGAGGGTGGCGAGATACATACCTGGTGCATCACGAGAGGTCGGCTATGGGGTTGCCAGTCATGTACATTGGTCTTTGAGAGTCGAAGTGAGCCTGTTGCGTGAACCAGCTGTAGGTAGCATAGTCGGGCAGAGTAGGTTGGGCGCTGGGCGCCAGACAGAGAGGAACGACTTTGGATACTGTGCTGGTGTGGCCTATGGGCTTGGACATTGACTCATTACTTCATTGTATTTGCTCTAGTATATGGATGGTTTTCTCGGTGCATTTGTACTCTCTGCTTGGACACGACTACCTGGACATCTGTGTGATTTCGCAACTTGGTTTTCTGTATATCGTTCACACTCATATTCCTTGCAACAGAAAGAAGTTTAGCCATATGTCAAATCAAGTCAGTAGAGATAAAAAACGTAGATTGCTCGTGCTAAAGAATCCCCCCCCCTTTTTTTTTTGTTCAAAAACTGTTACAGCAATCTTAATATTGTTGGGAAACGGCTCCGGCGTCCCTCACATAAGTACTGCAGCCACACAGGGAGCAAATTAGCCAGGGCGCGTTAGTGCTGCAGCAACACAGTGCTAACGCATCGCATCGGCGGCGCGATAGACTGCAGTAATGCAACACTGGCGCGCCGCCTCCATACCTGACGGAGCTGATCAAGGACTTCGCCCCCCGGTTGTTGACATGGAGCGGAGCGTGCACAGGGTAATCCTTCTTCCGCATTGGCCAGAGTGGCACTGGAGCATCCTGTGCGATTGTGACGGCGTGTGCGCCTTCATGGTCTTGCTGCTTAACGGCACAGTTCTGATGTGTGGCTGGATTCCGAGCTGGCGAATCTGTTGTGCATGTGGATGTTGTGCGAGCTGGAAGACAGACTGGAGATACAGCGATGCCTGCACGAGTGGAGTGGACCGCATGGACTTCGCGGACGTTTTCGGTGCCCCACTCTTCTCAGATATTTCCGGCTTTCGGCTGTGAGCAGCTGTGAAACACGACACGTGTGGGGATCATCTTGATGTGACATTTGCTATTGAGGCATCTTGATGTGACATTTGCTATTGAGGCATCTTGATCTGACATATGCTATCGAGGCATAGATGGGAGCTGAGGGGTGGTGCAAACGATGCAGTGGAGAGGGCTTGATACCGCCTCCCCCATCGAGCCTGCCGTCCTGGATGGTCTTCGACTCTTCGCTTGCTTAGTATCTCCTCTAATTTATTAGTTTGGACTTGGGTATAGACTCTGAGTTGGAATTGGTGTGACTGTTCTTGTTACTTAGGTGATTAAGGACTACTTAGTGACTAATTAGTGCAAACTCTACATTAGATTACGGTTTTCAGACCATAGTATTTGGTGGCCTTCCAAAACGGCGGACCTGATGGTTTTTGCATGAGGATCGTCATTCTAAACAACCATTGTTTAGTCGGGCTGGCGAGATTTCGGGAGATTTCGTTCGCTCTTGTAATCCCGATAATTAATTGCTGGCCGATCAGTGGAATTACGATTGATCAGAGTTTATTCTGTGGTCCAGTGGGTCTTAGCTATTGTATTGAAGTTTTTTCTTGGCGGTGGTGGGGCTCCTGTTTATGGTTTTGATTGGCTCTTTCTAGATCATGGGATTCTGGAACAAGGGTGACTGACTAAATTAGGGTTGTCACCGGTTATTCTAAAGGTTAAAACACCAGTCCCTCCACGTTTTAAGGCCCTTAACGCAGTCACTGTGTCTGAATCAGTGCGCCGAGCAGGCCCATACGCATTTGTGTCACAGCCTCCCCAGAGGGGGCCTACTAAGACCCCCTAGGGTACTGGTGGTTTAAGAACCATTGCTGTAATAATTTTAGAGTTTCTTAGTGATGGGTTTAGATTCAGCACCAGGGTCCTTTCCGAAAATAGTGGGGCCTCCGAGCTTTCAGGAGGCCAAAACGAAAACGACGGCCGCCGATCAGTCAGATTTATCAACGGCAGCCGTTGTTGTTCGGCCCAGCCTCCTACGAGTTTGGGACTAGGCTAAAACTTGTCGAAACCGGACGGCAAAGGTACGAATGGTTAAAAAAAAAAAAAAAAAAAAAAAAAAAGAAGAAGAAGAAGAAGAAGAAGAAGATTATTTGTTGTTGACTTTTACTTCGGGTGGTTAGGGCTGTGGAGTTGGCCGTGGGGTGTAAGGCAGTGGCGCCCTCTATGTGCTTGGCTGGTGATGCCTCGCCACTGAGGACCCCACCCAATTTTTGTAAGGGACGCCGGATCCGGTTTCC